CCAAAAAAAAAAAAAAAATCATATGTGCCTTTCCCTCTCCAGGATTCACCATTAACTGTACCACCACTTGGGATTGCAGCCTAATGTTTTGTTAAATTCACACATACTAGTAAGTAAATGCTTGCAAAAATCCATTTTCTTGATAACTTGAGTTCTTATCCAAATTTCCCCATGCCCATTGCATTTGTCAGGGTATATTACACTGAGTATTGATTTATTCCTTCCTGAAAAGGAAAAAGCTTTTTACTTCCAAATTTCTTGGTAAAAAGACACTCATAAAACAGCCTGTGATCTGACAGATGGTATTAGATCTTATCTTCTAACATTGGAAAATTTTAGTATATATTCATTTATTGAGCGATTCCACGTTTGATATGTTGTAGATGGAGTTCCCTTGATTTAAAATATATGTATTCAACCAACGTAACTCAGTATCTTGATAATGCTCACAGTCAGCAAAGTTTATTTTCCCAAAATTAAAAAAAAGCCCTTTCATGTTTTTCTTAGGAGGTAATCACCAAAGTTACTTAAGTCACTTTTTGATGATTAAAGCTAAGGTAGATTGATGTCACTTTAATGACAAGGATATTTTTAAAGACAAATAAATGTTGTGGATGTAAAGAAAATTGAAGAATCTGAACTCAGATCTTCAGATAAATACTGGGTAATCAGTTAACAACTATATATGTATAAAAAACAGAATATAGCAAAATATTACAATAAATGCAAAAAAAGGATCAAAGTCATTACTGGCTGCGTGACAACAGAAAGACTGGAACTATGATGCCAAGTCTCAGGAGAGACAAACTATTGTTACACTTCAGGATAGAAGAATTGTTTTCTGCACCGTGGGCGAGACAGCTGAAACCGTTGCTACTTGTCATTAGCAACAATACTATTGGAAATACTCCTAGAAGGTGTACAAAATTAATTTTCTTTTTCATGGCATTTCTCAGTTTTCCTATGATGTTATTTGCAATGTAAAAACAAGTTTTGTTTTCCAAAACACCCCCCCCCCCCCAAAAAAAAAAAAAAAAGGGAAAATTGGATCAGCACTTACGGCTCATTCTGAATAAAACTTTCATTCTACATAGGTCATATGATTATGTGGGGACTCTTGCTGACTGCAGTCAGATTATCAGATTAGAGGGATAATAACTCTTCGTTTTGGCCAAAAAATGAATTTTCCTTTAGTAAAGAACAATTTTTCCATACTTACCAATGGTGAATGAATCCTTTTATTACATTCAAAGTTGTTCCCTGGTTTTTTTCTAAAAAGTTTGGTTTTTTGTTATAATCTCTTAAGAGATTATAACAGAGTATAGCCATCAATGGAGATCACGTGGTCTAAAGACAAGCTCAGATATCAGAATAATAGCTGTAACTGCCGTTTTTGTGGTACAACATAATATATTATATTTCTATGAGTTGTTCACAATGTTTTAATTGTGAAATATAGATCTCATACTAAGAGTTATTATCCCTTTAACATGCCTCCTGGCAATGAGTAGAATACAGAAAAGCTGGTGATTTTATGTGTATGCTGGGAGCAAAAGGAAGCGTGTTAATCTGATTGCATTCAACAAGAGGTCCACGCGGAGTTGGATCTGTCTATGTAGAACAATAGTTTCACTGGGTATGAACCCTTAGAAAATCACTCCACATCATCACAACATCTTATTCAAGGCAATTTGAAGGGTTGCGCATAGTGAGAGTTTAGTAATAAACTGTTAACTTTTCAGTCTCTTAGGGACCATTCCCACAGTTATTTGGATCGATCTATCTCCCTGGGGAGTCTCACGAAATTGCTATCAAGCTTACTGGCTTAAATGTCTGTCACCCCCAGTAAAGCTGTTAGGGGGTAATTATCTTTACCCGTAGGGATGGGAACCCATTCTTACTCATCTACCCCTAGAGCTTCCAGTCTGAACTTAAATCTGCACTACCTAAAGACTGTTATGTATTTATTATTGTAATTTCTGCATCAACATATCAATATTTTCACAGAGTACAAGGCTTTGTCCTGCAGGGTAATAATTGTAGAACTGAAAGTTAAGTACGTCAGACAGTCAGGCGCTTGAAAGGGTATTATGTAGGGGATGAAGGGCAAACTTGTCCTATTAAGTAGAAAATTGGAAATTTGTGGAACATTAAGCAATTGATAGGAGGCTGCCTTAGGAAGCCAAATCTAGCTAGAGCGCAAATTTTAAAGCAAAGATTCTAAGACTGCGTGAGTTCTTGAAGACAGCTTTTGTGGCTCTGGTACAGATTTCCCGTTTATCCAATATGAAGAAATTAGAGGTAAGACCAGTCAAATGTCAAGTATTTGTATGTCTTACAGCTAGGATAAATGTGTATTCTGATAGATGAATATAGATAAATATATCCAGTGAAAGCTTTGACCAGTGAAATGTGTATTTTACGGTGAAATGATTTGCTTTGACGTACTGGCCTCCTAATACATGTTCTGTTCACGTTATACTTGATGATATTTGATCAGAATGTCATGAGCATTGTTTTGGTAATTTTTTATAGGTTTCACTTTGC